TGCTCTTACCCAAACCTCCCATACATTTCTGTCTACAGACACCTGAAAACCTATTATATCAAAACTATCTAACCTTTTTTGTTTTTATTTTGTAAGAATAATTTATTCTTTCAGCACTACTTAAAAGTAATGGTTCAATGAGTAAATATTGACTTAAGGCAGATAGCCGAGTACTTCTCTAACTCTAACATATGTGTAACAAGATGGAGAGCCATCTGTTTTCTGAAGATAGGAGGTTAAGCTAGTATATTCAGTTTGAGAAAGTGCTATACATACACACCCAAATTACTACATTCAGATATGTTTGTTTGTTTGTTGTTTGTTTGTTTGTTTAAAAAGTCCAACTTACAAATGCTTTCATCCTAGCATTTAAGCCTTATCCACAACTCATAACAGGTTTTTCAAGAGTCACATTAATGTGATCTTAAGCTTCCTTCATAGAAGCAATAAAAACAATCATGAGCCTCTTTCATTACCACATGTTTAGAAGGTAGGACAGACATACCTCCCTTACCAAGGTCATATCACAAAAGGAGAACAAGAATGACTCTAATGATGGTAAACCACTTTTATCTTTAATTAAAAAAAATTTTTTTAAAGAACTGTGGCTTCCAATAGTTGTTAAAACACTGCCTGCTTAAGAATGTGAACTTGGAATAATGGAGGCTGAACATGTCCTTAGAGAATCTCATCATATATGACACATAACTCAAATGTAAAACAAATAGGGAAGTTTAAAAATTTCAGGATATTTATAGAAAAGCATTCACCATTATGTGTCAAGAATAATAAAATTGTACTCAAATGAGAATGGTTGGAACTATATTAGGTTAATTAGACAAATAAATATTGGGAAATAACAAGTTCCACAGTTAAGAATAAATTAGAATTTATGTTATTGGAAAGATGCACATATAATTTTTTAAAAAGATTTATTTATTTATGTGAGAGAGGAGGGGAGAAAGAACACAAATGGAGGAGTGGCAGAAAGAGAAAGAATTCCAAGCAAGCTCCCTGCTAAGCATGGAGCCTGATGTGCCAGGAGCTTGATCCCAGGACCCTGAGATCATGACCTGAGCTGAAATCAAGAGTTAAACTCTTAACCAACCAAGAGACCCAGGTGCCCCAACACACAAAAATATTAAAAAAAAAAAAAACAAATTTCGTGCAAGAAGAAAATGCAAAATACAATAAATTTTGAATAACTTGTTTTTTTTAAAACAAATGGGTAAATATATAGAATATCTACTAGAGAGATTTTCTCAAGAATCAAATAATTATCTCAAATGGAACTAAAGATGAATTTAAAAAAGAGGAGAGATACAATGGTGAGAAATTAGACCAGCAGTGGGAGCTTAATTATTTGGTCAGTAAACAGACATTGAAGACAGTTAATGTCTTTGTTAAGCAAAGACATATATATTGGGAGAATTATTTGGATTTATTTTAGATATGAGATCTCAGGTGCAACAACATCCACTAATGATTATAGGTAATTTGAAATTCCATCCTCACAATTTTAATACATTGTCATAGTTGAATTAGGTATTTGTGTTGTAAAAAACAAAAATAAACTATATTAGTATAAGAAGTGTAAATATTTTTAAATATATAAATGGTTTTATATAAATAAATTAATTTGAACAACATTATAGCAACTACAATAACAAGACAAAGTTTAGTTGCAGAGCTGTGATGGCAGAAACTGAATAAAATATACCAATCTAAACCAGTTGTAGGAAAATATTCTATGAATCTTAAGATATAAATATAACAATAAGTCTTAATTCTCTCCATTCCTATGCACATGGACACCATATTGCAGTTCTTCTATATGATATCATTAAATTTTTTTAAAATATTAAATCTGACTATGTGAGTAGAAATAATATCACCTGTTTAAAAGTTTAGAAGACTAAAAAGAAAGATAACCAACATAGACATAGTAAATTTTTAATACTTAACCTCTGAGATGCCTGATTACTGTTCATTGATGTTGCTTGATTCTGAAGAGGAAGATGATAGATGCTAAAAATGATTTCCAGAAAAATACATTATGATAGAATATGTATAGATGGAAAGAATTCCTATGTCAGAGAAGGGAAATTAAACCAAGAAGAGTCACTGCAGGAGTATATTTGCAATATTCTGCAAGCTTTTTGTGTAAGATTATTTTAATAATATTAATATTACACAAAATAAAGAGAATCTAAAATTATTAAGGGTAAGAAATTTAATTTTTTAAAAAGATTTTATTTTATTTATTCATGAAAGACACACACAGAGAGGCAAAGACACAGGCAGAGGGAGAAGCAGGTTCCATCCAGAGAACCCAATGGGGAGTTCTCTCCATCCAGAGAACTCAATCTGGGGACCGGGATCACACCCTGAGCCTAAGGCAGAGGCTCAACCACTGAGTCATCCAGGCATTCCATAAAGGTAAGAAATTTTAGCTGGTGAAGTCATCCTCTATATAGTGCGCCACAACCATTTAGCAGTAGACTGATGAATTACATTATAAAAAGCAAAGACCTTCCGGAACCTGACAATCTTTCTGGTTTTAATGAGAAGGAAATTTGGTGACGTCTTCTCTTTTTTCCCAAGACTCTTCCTTCACCCCAGAAAGACAAGTAAGGCTGTAAATCTTTCCAACTATTGCTGCTCGAAGTATTTTGTGAAAGAGATCTTGCTAAATAAAGAGAAAGTATAAACATATTTTTAGGTTTTCAAGATTTTACAGTGTGTATAGCAGCTATTAAAATGAGAAAGTTACCAGAGCTCGAAATACAATTTGAAAAGTCTAAGTAGAAAAAAGCCAACAGAGATTCTTTCATCTTTAAACACAATTCGGACTAGCAATGTGTGGTAGAGGAAAAAATTTTCCACCCCAAAATGTGTCTCTTTGGCATATGGATTGTTTTAGGTTGATTATTTTTAAGAAACAGAAAACTCAAGAAGTTTTTCTTTTACTAACTGCTTAAAAGAATTTAGACAGAAGACCTGTTCCAGGAAGGGAGCTAGCACCATAGTTAACTATAGTTATAATATGAAGTAGGACGGGTAGATAGGTAGGAACCAGCAAGGCCTGTTTGATCAAAGTCCTCTCAATATCCCACTGTTTCTGAGTTGGCCAGCAAACATTTGTTTACCAAACATTTACTCTTTTTCATCTTCCTGTAAATTGCTTTCCTTAGCTTTGAGGTCCCAGACTTCTCTCCCCTTCTGTTCAGGATGACCTATGTACCGCATCTTGCCTGTCTTTGGAATCTTTTCTGTTTATGTGAATTCTTCTGGTGCATGTTATTAAATTTGATTTTCTTCTGTTACCTGTCTCATGTCAATTTAATTTTTAAACCAGCCAAGAGAATCTTGAGGGTAGAAGAAAATTTTTCTCCCCAATAGTACAAATGCAGGATATAAATCACAGCCAGATATTCAATGAAAATCTAGAATATATCAGAGTCTAAAACAGCATTATAGTCATTTTGGAATCAGAATTGCACCAGAACAACACTATGCTTATGTAAGCAAATTATATGCATTTTCTCTGTGTTTACACAAACACACACATTCATATTATTTTTTAAGGATTTTTATAAAATTTATTTATTAATGAGAGATAGATAGGTAGAGAGAGAGAGAGAGAGGCAGAGACACAGGCAGAGGGAGAAGCAGGCTCTTTGCAGGGTGCCTGATGTGGGACTCGATCCTGCAACTCCAGGATCACGCCCTGGGCTGAAGGTGGCGCCAAACCGCCAAGCCACAAGGGCTGCCCATACATTCATATTAATTTATACACTGTATTTAAGATAATTCTATATAATGCAAATATGTGAGCTCAGTTCTTCTTCACTGTTGTTTTTACTATAATTGTATTATATTGAGTTTGATAAAACCACAAAGATGCCACTAAGTGACTAAATATTGCATACATGAGAAAAAGAGAATTAAAAAAAATGATGTCTAAGTCTCTTCCTATTGAGATAGATCCTGTATGCACATGCACATCTCTACATCCACCCATAATAATTTACATATTAGATTATTTTTCCTTAGAAAATTTTCTTTTAAGTCGTTCTGAGGTATGTACAATAACATAGCTCTCTACTTAATAATGGTTTTGGAAGCTAATAAATCTTTAAGTATTTTACATCCTATTTTAGCTAAAATCAACTTTGAAAATTAATGCAAATTATACTCGCTAAATTTAGGAATGGAGTGTAATTCTAGGTAATTTAAGAACCACCATACAGTTTCAATTTAAAAAAAAAAAAAGTTGCCTGCTAGCTGATTTTACAGATATCCAGTGATTCATGAGTCTATCTCTGCATTTTATTTCAGCTAAAATGCACAATAAAGGCTGCAGTGCAAAGTAGTGATACAACATGATCTTTAGAGAAAGCTATAAAACTCAAATTAGAATAAATTTGCTCTGTAATGATAATTTTTTGGCCTTAATAACTTCATTATATAAAATGTTCTCGATTACATAGTAATGAAGTCTCTGTCCAATGAATTTCAGTAAAGTAAGGCATATACCACAATTCACAAAATATTTATGATATTTTAGCAAATATTATATTCATTTGGAAAAGAAACAAAATAAAATACTTAAAATAATATTATAAACATATTATAAATATACAGAATTATTGAACATGAAATTATTTACTCCTATGTTTATGTCTGGTTGTTAAAAAGCATAGAAAAGAAATAAGTTATATGGTAAAATTTTAGTTTTAATTTGAGGTAATATTTAAATACCAAAATGGGAAAAATCAATCTTGTTTTCACTTATATTTATTTCTCTAATATACCATCACCAAATGAAACGTTATTATTTGCAGTTGATTATAATTTAATTATACCATTAATTTTGTTTTTAAAAATATCATTATATTAATTTTGGCTTTAAATTACATAACACAGAAGAAAATTTGTCATTCATGTAATTACAAATGACTTTAGTGTGAAACTTGTTACAAAGTAAACATGCCTACCATTGTTGTCTCAGCGATGGAGCCAAAGCTGTTTATGAATATGTTGCATGTGACATTAACAGGAGGACCTGAAAGAGAGATGAAAACATAAGGGCTCTTTATTTTCAAATAATTCCATGCTTTTCATTATTAATTTTTTATTTTATTTTATTTTTTAAAAAAGAAAATCTGTATTTTTATATTTGTATACGCCCCGATTCTGTGAATAATCTGAACTGAAAATCACAAATTCATAGTCTCCTTTGAACACTGATGCTGGCCCTTATACAAGTCATTAATCTCATTTAGTCTCAGTTTCCTTGATTAGATATCTCTAGTAACTTTGTAAATGTCTGATTTGGTAAATCTAACATCTGAACACCTTCAGGCTGTTTCTATTGATTTCCCCCCCTTATTTATGGGCCCTATTTTGCTGCATATTTTTTGTCACATAATTTTTGTGAGGTTAAAAACTGGGTACATTAGATAATACAATGTGGCAACTCTGGAAACCAGACCTTCACTTGCATCCCACAAATGGTCTCTGCTGGTGTTCTTTGCTGGTGTACTTTGCTATTTAGTGACTTATCCAGGTAAGTCACTAATCACACTAAATAATCACTTTACCTAAAAAATGTCTGCATTTCCCTATGGTGTGCAGCCACTGAGGTCTCTGCTCAGTGACCTTAGTGGTCAACTAGTGATTGGTCAGATTTCCTTATTGCCCTGAGTCAATACATCTTCCACCCTTTGCCAGGGACTTCATGTTTGTTTGGAGGGATGCCTTTAGTGTTCAGGCCTTTACCTTCACTTCCTTTCTTGCACAGGGTTTGAGGTCAGCCAAAGGTGAGAGGTTGGGGGACCTCCCAGGTCTTTCCTAGGCATGGACACAGCCTTACACTTGTGTGTACTCTCTAGACCTACAAGAGGATATTAGAGCTTTTCAAAGCTGCCTAGGAGCATCTCATTCTTCAGATCTTTTAAAAATTTTTGTTCAGGCTCTTGTTTGCCCAACTGGTATCACAGCCTTAGGCAGCTGCAGTGTTAAACCTTTTCTTGTAATCATTTTCAACAAATGCCCAAGGATAGGATTGCCCTACTGGGAGAGTTCCCAGTCATAGCCCAATAACGATAAGCCCTCTGAGTGGGACTCCTCTAAGGAGTAGGCCAGATTAAAGTAACATAGCTGTGGAGATGGACTTTCTGAGGGGCCGGACTTTGATACATGCTGGGCTCCTGGACTGTACAGCTTCTGTGGTTGAGAGGCTTCTGGTTTTCAAGGCTACCAAGAGCTCAGGAGTGGAACCTATTTAAATACTCTCTGTTTCTAGAGAAGCCTATTGGTTTGTTAATTACACATTCCTTAGTGTGTTGCAAGCTTTTCAGAGCCTTTTAAGGTTCATTTTGACCATTTTTCCAGTATTTCTGTTGCTTTTTTTTGGAGGAGTGAATTTACAGAGAACATCGCTCCACCATTCCAGAAGTCCCCTATAAGTGCCTGATTTAGCATTCATCAAAAAACCAACAAATTTTGTTTTTATGAGATCCATTTATTTACTCCTTTACTAAATATTTAAAACTGTGTACACCAAATTGAAGAAGACCCAATGAGATTATTACCTAGCAGAGTAGAAGGAATAAGATCTTATAAATTGGTGAGTACTTCTCGTTACCAGGTGTTGTGCAGATTCATAGATACCATTTAATCCATATCACATTGACAGTGGGTAATATTACCATTTTAAAAATAGTGAATTAAAGCTCAGAGAGGATAACATAGGTGCTAATAAATAGTACGTTTAGAATTTGAATCACCAGTCTGATTCTAGGAATCATTCTTTTTCCGCATCATATCAGGTTGTCCCACGATCTTCACATAACATTACATCCAAAGGATTCCATTATCTGGCTACTGACTTTGTTATGAAGCTGAAATAGTATGTGGTAGGGATTAAAATAACTCTATGAGTTAAACTCACCTAATAGATAATGCCACACACAAAAACCTTATCTAAGATAGCAGCCCTTGCCCTGTATCTCTACGTCCCCCTCACTAGAGATAATCCCTTCAATTTATTTAATGGATTCTTTGGGGATTTACCTAATTTTCTTTAAATAATGAGTTTATTTTGCTACTCTTAAGTGCTCCACTTTTGGATGCCTCCACAGCAGAAGAGGATTTAGCTTTCTATCAAACATTATCACCATCCCTATTAACATAAACCTTTTTTTCTGTCCTCCTAGGACACAGATACTGTTGCATTGTCATTGTTGTTAGATTCATTTATACTTTTTATATCATGACAAGGTGAATATTACCTCCAACTAAGTCATGCAATAAATTATGGCTACTTTTCCTGTCCTGAAAAACATTTTCTGGCGGTTGATAATTGCTTTACATATTTTACATCGTTTCCTCCATATGTATCATTAACTTACCCACAAGTTCTAAAATGTCTAAATTATGTTTCAATGTCAGATTCATCACATATTTTATTAGCTTTATTGTCCTTTGCATTTACTCCAAAATGAGACTTTTTTGTTTTGGAGCCTAGCAGTGATCTTATGATCTCACATGATCATTATACTGGGGATTACTTCTATCTTCTCTTTGGTGGGATCTCCTTTCTTGGCCTGCATATTGTCATTTTTCTTCGTTTAATTCTTCATTGTATTTTTTTAAGATTTTATTTATTTATTTGAGAGTGAGTGAGAGAGAGAACAAGCACACAGAGGGAGAGGGAGAAGCAGACTCCCCACTGAGCAGAAAGCCCAATGTGACGTTCCATCTTGAGACCCTCGGATCATTCATTACTGAATGAGCCATCCAGGCACCCCTATTTCTTCATTTTAGTAGAGCATGTCCTTTAGTAATTTTTGGAGAAATGGTGCATATGGATATGAAGCTTTGGAGAATTTGCTTGTTCACAATTTGTTTAAACACCCTCTCAATTAACACCTAATTTTGGTATACAATTTTAGGCTGAAAGGTTTTTTTTTCTGAATTTTAAAGATATTTCTCATTATTTTTTGTATTGCTATTAAAAATATACAAAGCCATTCTAATTCTCAATCCTTTGTAAAGATAAAAAAATCTTTGTGCCAATATTTAAAAATAAATTAAAAAATAAAAAAAAAACAATGCCTCATTAGTTAGAATAGTTGAAAATTATTTGTGGTTTCAATTTTCATTTTCTTGATTGCTGGTGCACAATTTTCATCTTTGCTTTTGTACTCATTTTCTCATTTCCATTTGTCTTGCTTGAATAAGACGGGGAAAAAAACAACAAAATTATTCAAAAATGAAGCTCATGATCCATAAGCCAATGAATTCTATGCACATTGAAATAATCTTTAAAATAAATCTGTACCTGATTTTAACCTAGATGATATGGCAAGCAACCAAAACACCAATATTTGTAAAAGTTCCCCAGGTGATTCAGATGTACAACAATGCTGGAAATCACTGGCCTAAGGAACTTCAGAGTAGGAACCTCTGTGCCCATTATACTATAGGGCTAAAAATGAAAGATTTTCTTAAAAGTGAAGAAATAGGGAAGAGTCAGAACTTAGAGTTAGGCCTTGAAGATGCAAGGCCATTAATTTTGATTAGAGAGTGTCCTATTATAAGTTTGATCAACAATGCTAATAAAAAAAGTAAATGCTGCACAGTTAGAAAGAGCCCAAAATCTATTGACCATCAAGATGCATAGAACGTAAAATTAAACAGAAATAGAAAATAAATTATTTTAAATATGAAGGATGGACATTAAAGAACAAGAAAATCTCATGAAAGTCCTGAATCCAAGAGGTGCTATAATTATTTGACTACTAGTAGATAGATTTTTAAAAAATATTTCTTTTTTATTTCTAAATATTTACAAATGTTTAAAATTTTTAAGACAATAAGGGTGTCTTATACATCAATTTGTGACAGAGGAGAAAGCATGAATCTTTTACATCCTGATTATTTTATCCCATCACAAGAGCAGTATGAAGTCACAATTAACTGTTAGATTCCTTTGACTTAATATAAGTCTAAAGTACTGAACCCTAAAATATGTACAAGTACCTGGCAATTTTGAAAAGCTAAAATCAATCATTCATATTTTCAAAGTTATTGTTTTCTAGAGAATGCTCAAACTTTGCTATTTTCTTTTGCTGCTAACAGTAATATGAATATAGGGAATATTGCTTAGCTTGAGACAAATTCTTCTGTGCTCTATTGAGACACAGCCTTTGGAAAAGAAAAAACACAAGGACATTGGTATTTGGGTTAATTCATCTTTCAAAAAAAATCATCTTTCGATAAAATGTTGATGGAAGTGCATCCATGTTGGGAAACATGGCCCAGTATATTGTTGTCACTATAAGACTGCCTGCTTCATCTGACTGTGAACTCATTGGGTGAAATTGGAATTAATAAAACAATGAGGGGGGTGGGCAGTTGATTTTTCTTATTTTAATTTAGCAAGAGGCAGGGGCTTTATTTTAGGGACTTTAATTTCTTTGTGGACATTGAATACAAAATGAGGCATTTTTTATTATGTTGTTTCATCTCACCCTTTAAGTTTAATTATTACTTTATAATTTTACATGGTGGTGGTGAAAATAGAATGAAAATGGAAATTCAGTATAGGCTTTGTGAGCCTGAAGTGAGTGCTATTTGTTTGGATACATTTCAGTGTCTCTTGGGCTTCATGGCACTTCCTAATGATTCCAGGAAGATTCTGAAAGTAGCAGTATTAAGTTTGGTGGAAGGCTCCTCTGAGGAATTTGCCTTCTCTCTAAAATGCACTGGCATCCCAAGTTGATCAGAGGCTTGCATACAAGGTCAATGAGTAAAATAAGGAAAATAATGCATTTCCATAGAAGAGCAAAGGGTCATAGGAGGAGTAGCTAATTGAAGTCTACTTCTAGTTGGGAATATGATGTTTTATAATATAGGAAATGGACTCACAGCCCTTGCCTCTTCAATATGCCTCCAAACCAATGCAATAAGCTCCTCCTAATGGCAGAAAGCCAGCCTGGTATCAGAGTCTAAATTTCCTGTAGCAGTACAGTAAGTCACTGAGTATAAGCCTTTGGT